TTATCATCGTTGGATTCTACACATATGTCATTGTCTAGTACTTCCATTGTTTATGTCCCTGCATCAATGGAACACATATTCATCATCATCAAATCACATTATTGAAAGAAATCCAAAACAAGTTTGCAGTCATTTCTGTGAAATAACAGTGTCCCTGCAATTTTCAAATATTCAACATTTCTAACTAATGTTCAGCTGCTATCAATGTAACACATATTGTCTGTAATCGGTTTTTCCATTTGATTGTTGTAATGAAAGTTTCTTATCAAAAAAAAAAAAAATTGTTGAGCATGGAAAGTTGTGAACAGAAGACAATAGCGTAAAGGGCCCAGCTTGGCCAAAATACTTCCTTTACACATTGTATCAGAGACCGACACCAAATTCAATCAACATTTTCAAATACATTCAACGTTAAATTGCCGTAAATTGGCATATATTCAAGAAACAGGGAATAGTCCACTGCACAATTCGATCGACTGCCCCAAATTAAGATTAAATAAAAAACAAAAAAAGATAAGGACAAGCAAGAACTGAACTGTTGCGGTATTGGAAGCTCAGCTTTGAAGTAGGAGTAGCATTTTTCGTTGCGGGATTGGACAAGCAAGAACTGAACTGTTGCGGGATTGGAAGCCCGAAGAAGGAGATGTCCTACGGTGGAAGCTCAGCTTTGAAGTATGTAAGAATCGCGGCTTAACCTTTGAAAATGGGAGGTTTGGAGTTCGTAGATGAGTTCGTAGATTCTCGGTGAATATGAACTTCCATAATAAGGCTCAAGCGGATTCTCAGTGGATGGAGCTGGACCGTCGAGGCGAAGGGTTCAGACCACCGTCGAAGTGGAGCTCGGAGTCGCCATGGCTTGTGAATTAGAGTGGAATGGCGGATTCAGTTCGAATGGGGGGGAATCGTGATTAGGGATCGGGGGAATGGTGGGGGATTTCCCGTGTGATGCTCAATTGGGCCGGGTGGGGCGGGTAATCAAACTGGGCCGGGTATGAAAATTCAAAAAACTGTGTAAATGGCTGTGTAAGTGAGTGTAGGAGTAGCATTTCTCTATTTAGTTAGCCTATTCTTTAATTAAAGAAACTGAACATTATACACAAAATAATGCTCTTTGACATCGTGCAAACATATATGTGATCACATACTAATTGAATATAACCATTCATATATAATAAATTTATTTAAAAAAATGTTAATGGATAAATCTCATATTGGTTAATTACCATAACATAGATCAACATACAATGTATTTGGGCTAGTCATCTTAATAAGATTAACATTTTAAGTTGGAAAAAGATTTACTCATAAAACTCAAACGAGCAATTCCATCCGATTAAGATTCAAATATAAGTATATGAATTTTAAGATTTGTCTGTTCAAATGAGTCACCATATTGCTGAGACATGTTAAGAGATAAATCTTATATCGACTAATTTTCGAAATATAAAAACGAGTACAAGAATTTCAAGTTTCTTAAATAGTAAACCACGTTGAAATAGTCGCCACACAAACATTATGATGTCTTCTATTTGAAATAAATCAATTTTATATTATGTTTCATTTAAATTTTGAATTGCATAATATGAATTGTAACTTCGATTTGTTTTCAATTGATGCAACGCCACTTCATTTAAATTATGAGTAATACTTAAATGAACTTTAATTACTTTTTAAATTATTTATTTTTCCAAATATAATTTTCTAGTTGACTGATTTTTTAGGTTTCTTTAGGCTCTGTTTGGTACACATTATTTTTTTCATTCTCATTCTTCTACTCATTTTCAACCACATATTCTTCAATAAATAATATTTTTTTATCACATCAATAACTTTTCATTCATTTTTAACCATACATTCTCCATCAATCTACTATTCAATAATATATTCTTTCAAAAGAATGTGTCCCAAACACACTCTTAGTTTCAAATAGTTGCCAAATCTTTATTTGCGTTTAAATTATTTTGACTTTAAAATTATTTAGTTTTTAACATATAATTTTCTGAAAAGTATCTTCTTTTAAAACATAACTTTAAATACATTCAAACATGTTCCAAATTACTCTAAAGATTATGGTATCAAGAAAAAATTCATTTGTGGCTTTTACAGAAATTCACCATAATATTCACAATGAGCGGACCACACCGTGCATTTTAAAAAAATAAAAAATGTGCGTACCCAACAATGCTTGAGTGTTCTGTTGGTTTTACTTCTGTACATGAAGCAAAACTCATGGTATCAAACCCTTGTTTGACATATATTAAAATCAAAATTTTAAATAAATTTTAATAAAAGTTGATTAAATTTGTGATTGAGAAATAGTGATCTTATAAATTATGTGGTTAAAATTAATTATTAAGAATAAATAATTATGATCTTTATCAACTTTTATCTACGCCAAATAGGAACCAAGAATAAATTTTCAAAAAAGAAAAAGAAGTGTGTGACTAATACAAAGTACACCTGAAGTTAATCGAGTAACTAATACTATTTAGTTGTGTTTGATATGTTGCTTTTTTCCCTAGAAAATGGAAAAAGTTTTCCAATTCCACATTTTTGTCATGTTTTGTTGGGTTACTTTTTCCTTAAAATTGGTTTTCACTCTTGCCCACTCAGGCGCCCATTTTCCATGCGTGAAAAGAATTTGTTTTCCTTTGATTTGGTTTGTTTTTCATTTTTCAGTTTTTTTTTTTTTTTTTAAATCTAGATATAATGGTAACAAAAATTTTCACTTTTATTGACAATTTCCATGTAAAATAAAGCCAAACGAATGATATTCGGTATGGTAAAAAAAATTCATCATTTTTTTTTTGTTTGTTTGCAATTGGATCAAATTCTAAACTCAATGGCAGAAAAAATTATCGCTTTAATGTACAATTTTCATGAAAAATGAAATCAAACGGACACCAAACTTTTAACATTTTTCAGGTAAAAAATTATACTAATCAAACACAATTAATTATAATTTTTAGTAAAATAATTTTTAGGCAATTCAATTCCCTGTAATTCATTTTATTTCCACTCATTTTCCACATTTACAATTAAACGAACGCTTCAATTTAAACTGAATAACCATCCAAATTGGATAAACTTCCCTAATCAAATTTGTGTAAGAACGCCAAAACCTTATAGGGGTCTAATCGAATTTGAATTTTAAGTCGAGCAAATATCCTAATTATTTAAGAACACTAACAAGTAACAACTTCCATGTCTATATAAACCCTCGTACTATAACCTTGTTCATACTCACTAATTCTTCCCGTTTGGATACTTTTTTCTCTCCTTCTTCTCAACGTGAGATCTTTTTGTTTACCTATCCATATTTTTTAACTATATTTCAACAAGTTCTGCGTTTGTTAAGTCTCTATCTTATTTTTTCAGAACGAAATCAAGTTTTGAAGCAATGGTTTCAAGGTATTTAGTCTCAATATTGGGACTTCTGCTCTTATGTGCATCAGCATGGGGACAAGACTCGAAGTTGAACATGCTATACAAGGATCCAAACCAGCCCATTAATACTCGCATTAAGGTTCTCATGGACCAAATGACCTATGAAGAGAAAATTGGCCAGATGGTACAGATTGATCGCCGTGCAGCCACACCAGAGATCATGAGAGATTACTCCATCGACAGCCTCCTAAGTGGTTTGGGAGCGTGCCACATGAACAAGCCACTACTGAGGAGTGAATGCATATGGTGGATGGATTTCAGACAGGTTCTTTATCTAGCAGACTTGGGATTCCTATGATTTATGGGATTGATGTTGTTCATGGCCACAACAATGTTTACAAGGCTACCATATTTCCCCACAATGTTGGCCTAGGAGCAACTAGGTCAGTACTATAATCTCGTAATGAATTGAGTTGTGCAATATCATATTTACAACGTGTCTATTTTTTTTCATTATGCAGAGACAAAGATCTTGTGAAGAGGATTGGTGCTGCAACTGCCCTTGAAGCCAGAGCTACTGGCATACCTTATGTCTTTGCTCTATGCACTGCGGTACACAAATATTCCTCTTGCAATTTTGTAAAACCTGAAATTTTAACAAACTAATCTAAGTTCAATTCTACAATTAATAGGTATGCAGAGATCCAAGGTGGGGAAGATGTTACGAGAGTTATAGCGAAGACCCTAAAATTGTTGAAGATATGATGGAAATCATTCCAGGTTTACAAGGAGATATCCCTCCCAATTCACCAAAGGGCATTCCTTATGTTGGTGGAAAGTAAGAATACTAAGTAATTCATGCACTCCAAATGCTACGTACCAAACAAGTACACTAACATTGCACAATTGACGCATTTTTTGAAATTTCTCTAATGTGATTCTTTTTCTTTGTGTATGTATGTGAAAAAGTACTAAGGTTGCGGCTTGTGCAAACACTACGTTGGAGATGGTGGGACGACAAAAGGAACCAATATGAACAACACAGTGACTAGCTGGCGCGGATTGCTAAGCATTCATATGCCACCATACTACAATTCAATAATCAAGGGTGTGTCAACAGTCATGGTATCCTACTCAAGTCTAAATGGAGTCAAAATGCATGCAAATCATCAACTTGTCACCAAATTCCTCAAAGGCACTTTGAGATTCAGGGTATAGATTTAAATAATTCAGTAAATAATAAATTACTATTCAATTCATTAGAAGAAAACATTCTGATATATCCCCCACTAATAATTTCTAGGGATTTGTTATATCGGATTGGCAAGGAATAGACAAAATCACCTATCCACAACATGCCAATTATACATACTCAGTTCTAGCAGGGATTAACGCTAGCATTGACATGGTAAGTTAGATTCTTGTGATTGCTCAAAATCTGTGCATCATATGCTAACACAAAGTTTTCCCTGTTGACATGTTTAGATTATGGTTCCTTTCAACCATACAGAATTCATTGATACTTTAACCTCCTTGGTGAACAACAACTTCATTCCAATTAGTCGGATCGATGATGCTGCCAAAAGGATATTGAGAGTTAAACTCAGCATGGGCCTCTTTGAGAATCCTATGGCTAACCATAGTTTAGTTGATCAACTTGGAAGCCAGGTTAGTAAAAATAACAAAGATAAACTCTAATGCATTGTATACTTAAGTCGTACAAATCGAAAGGACACAATTAAAATATAATTTGTTCCTCAAACAGGCTCACAGAGATTTGGCGAGGAAGGCTGTGAGAAAATCACTTGTACTATTGAAGAATGAAGAAAATGCTGATAACCCTGTACTTCCACTACCTAAAAAGGCATCCAAAATCATAGTTGCTGGAAGCCATGATAACAATCTTGGATTTCAATGTGGTGGTTGGACAATAACTTGGCAAGGACAAGGTGGCAATAACCACACTGTCGGAACCACAATCTTTAACGGGATCTCAACTGCAGTTCATCCAAGTACATAAATCGTCTATAGTGAAAACCCGAACGAGGATTTTGTAAAATCCAATAACTTTTCCTATACCGTGGTTGTGGAAGGAGAACCTCCCTATGCTGAATCTACAGGTGACGATTCAAACCTTACAATTCCTCAGCAAAGTTTAGACACAATCAAGAATGTTTAGCGTCAAGTGTGTGGTTGTTCTTGTATCTAGTCGACCTTTGGTGATTCAGCCCTACCTTGAACACATCGATGCATTAGTAGCTGCTGGGCTACCTGGAACAGAAGGCAACGGAGTGGCTGATGTCCTCTTCGGGGACTATGGATTCACTGGTAAGTCGTCCAGAACTTGGTTCAAGACTATAGATCAGCTCCCCATGAATATTGGTGATTCACACTATGATCCACTCTACCCTATTGGTTATGGACTCACTATAAAACCAGTTACAGCAAGTTAGATTGATTTTCTTTTAGTTGATAGAGTTAGTTTAACATCTTTTTCTTTTTATTGTTAGAATTTGTTAAGCATCTTTTTCTTTTAGATTTTTTTTTAAAATTTTCTTGTAAATATACACTTGATGTATATTCTATGAG